CCTGACACACACAGCACCTGACACACACAGGAGACACCTGACACACACAGGAGACACCTGACACACACAGCACCTGACACACACAGGAGACACCTGACACACACAGGAGACACCTGACACACACAGGAGACACCTGACACACACAGCACCTGACACACACGAGGAGGGCACCTGTCACACGCACCTGTCTGTGTTGGGTCTTGGCTCCTGTCGGTGACTCCAACTCTCTCCAAAACCAGAGCACGAAAACTCACCAGATCAGACCCTAACCAGAAACCAGACTAAACCAGACCAGAACTAGACCAGGACTAGACCAGGACTAGACCAGGACTAGACCCAGGACTAAACCAGGACTAAACCAGGACTAGACCAGACCAGGACTAGACCAGGACTAGACCAGGACTAACCAGGACTAGACCAGGATAGACCAGACCGGACTAGACCAGGACTAGACCAGGACTAGACCAGGACTAGACCAGGACTAACCAGGACTAGACCAGGACTAAACCAGGACTAAACCAGGACTAGACCAGGACTAAACCAGGTCTAAACCAGGTCTGGTCTGTACCTGGAGTTGATGACGTCGTCCAGACTCAGGTCACATGACTGTGGAGCGGTGGTCTGGGGGCGGGGCACAGTGTGAATCCTCCAATCAGGATGCACCTGGAGGGCGGCGTCAGCGTGAAGCTCCACCCCCGTCTGCCCGGTAACAGCACGGCCAATCAGAACGCTCGGATCCTGTGGACAGATGGCAGAGTTCAGGCGGCGTCACAAACGCACCGGACGCCCGACTGTGTGACCTGTGTGTGTGTGTGACCTGTGTGTGTGTGTGTGACCTGTGACCTGTGTGTGTGTGTGTGACCTGTGTGTGTGTGTGTGTGTGTGTGTGTGTGTGTGTGTGTGTGTGTGTGTGTGTGTGTGTGTGTGTGACCTGTGTGTGTGTGTGTGTGTGTGTGTGTGTGTGTGACTGTGTGTGTGTGACTGTGTGTGTGTGTGTGTGTGTGACCTGTGTGTGTGTGTGTGTGTGTGACCTGTGTGTGTGTGACCTGTGTGTGTGTGTGACCTGTGTGTGTGTGACCTGTGTGTGGTGTGACCTGTGTGTGTGGTGGACCTGTGTGTGTGTGACCTGTGTGTGTGTGTGTGTGTGACTGTGTGTGTGACCTGTGTGTGTGTGTGTGTGTGTGACCTGTGTGTGTGTGTGTGACTGTGTGTGTGTGTGTGTGTGTGTGTGTGTGACCTGTGTGTGTGTGTGTGTGTGTGACCTGTGTGTGTGTGTGTGTGTGTGTGTGTGTGACCTGTGTGTGTGTGTGTGACCTGTGTGTGTGTGACCTGTGTGTGTGTGTGTGTGTGTGTGACCTGTGTGTGTGTGTGTGTGTGTGTGTGACCTGTGTGTGTGTGTGTGTGACTGTGTGTGTGTGTGACCTGTGTGTGTGTGACCTGTGTGTGTGTGACCTGTGTGTGTGTGTGTGTGTGTGTGTGACCTGTGTGTGTGTGTGACCTGTGTGTGTGTGTGACCTGTGTGTGTGTGTGACCTGTGTGTGTGTGTGACCTGTGTGTGTGTGTGACCTGTGTGTGTGACCTGGTGTGTGTGTGTGACTGTGGTGTGTGTGTGTGTGTGTGTGTGTGTGTGTGTGTGTGTGTGTGTGTGTGTGTGTGTGTGTGTGTGTGACGTGTGTGTGTGTGTGTGTGTGACTGTGTGTGTGTGTGTGTGTGACCTGTGTGTGTGTGTGTGTGACCTGTGTGTGTGTGTGTGTGTGTGTGTGACCTGTGTGTGTGTGTGTGTGTGTGTGATGTGTGTGTGTGTGTGTGAGACCTGTGTGTGTGTGACCTGTGTGTGTGTGACCTGTGTGTGTGTGTGTGTGTGTGTGTGTGTGTGACCTGTGTGTGTGTGTGACCTGTGTGTGTGTGTGTGTGTGTGTGTGTGACCTGTGTGTGTGTGTGTGACCTGTGTGTGTGTGACCTGTGTGTGTGTGTGACTGTGTGTGTGTGTGACCTGTGTGTGTGTGTGACCTGTGTGTGTGTGTGTGTGTGTGACCTGTGTGTGTGTGTGTGTGTGACCTGTGTGTGTGTGTGACCTGTGTGTGTGTGTGACCTGTGTGTGTGTGTGTGTGTGTGTGTGTGGTGTGTGTGTGTGTGTGTGTGTGTTGTGTGTGTGTGTGTGTGACCTGTGTGTGTGTGTGTGTGTGTGTGTGTGACCTGTGTGTGTGTGTGTGTGTGTGTGACCTGTGTGTGTGTGTGACCTGTGTGTGTGTGACCTGTGTGTGTGTGTGTGTGTGTGTGTGTGTGACCTGTGTGTGTGTGTGACCTGTGTGTGTGTGTGTGACCTGTGTGTGTGTGACCTGTGTGTGTGTGACCTGTGTGTGTGTGTGACCTGTGTGTGTGTGTGTGTGACCTGTGTGTGTTGTGTGACCTGTGTGTGTGTGTGACCTGTGTGTGTGTGTGTGTGTGTGTGTGTGTGACCTGTGTGTGACCTGTGTGGTGTGAGTGTGTGTGTGTGTGTGGACCTGTGTGTGTGACCTGTGTGTGTGACCTGTGTGTGTGTGTGTTGTGTGACCTGTGTGTGTGTGTGACCTGTGTGTGTGTGTGTGACCTGTGTGTGTGTGTGTGTGACCTGTGTGTGTGTGACCTGTGTGTGTGTGTGTGACCTGTGTGTGTGTGACCTGTGTGTGTGTGTGTGTGTGTGTGACCTGTGTGTGTGTGACCTGTGTGACCTGTGTGTGTGTGTGACTGTGTGTGTGTGTGTGTGTGTGACCTTGGTGTGTGTGTGTGTGTGTGTGTGTGTGTGTGTGACCTGTGTGTGTGTGTGTGTGTGACCTGTGTGTGTGTGTGTGTGTGTGTGTGTGTGTGTGTGTGTGTGTGTGTGTGACCTCTGTGTGTGTGTGTGTGTGTGTGTGTGTGTGTGTGTGTGTGTGTGTGTGTGTGTGTGTGTGTGTGTGTGTGTGTGTGACTCTGTGTGTGTGTGTGTGACCTGTGTGTCTGTGTGTGTGTGTGTGGTGGTGTGTGTTGTGTGTGTGTGTGTGTGTGACCCTGACCTGTGTGTGTGTGTGTGTGTGTGTGTGTGTGACCTGTGTGTGTGTGTGTGTGACTGTGTGTGTGTGTGTGTGTGTGTGACCTCTGTGTGTGTGTGTGACCTCTGTGTGTGTGTGTGTGTGTGTGTGTGTGTGTGTGTGTGTGTGTGTGTGTGTGTGTGTGTGTGTGTGTGTGTGTGTGTGTGTGTGTGTGTGTGTGTGTGTGTGTGATGTGTGTTGTGTGTGTGTGTGTGTGTGTGTGTGTGTGTGACTGAGTGTGTGTGTGTGTGTGTGTGTGAGTGTGTGTGTGTGTGTGTGTGAGTGTGTGTGTGTGTGTGTGTGTGTGTGTGACTCTGACTCTGACCTGGAGAGCCACAGTCTGTAGAAGCGTCCGTCCTGCAGCAACGGAAACCAACGACAGGAAACTCCAGAAAAACACACACACACACTCTGAAACAACAACACACACAATAAACACACACACACACTCTGAAACAACAACAACACACAATAAACACACACAACACACACACTCTGAAACAACAACACACACAATAAACACACACACACACACCAGGTCCAGACTGGGTCCAGACCAGGTCCAGACCGGGTCCAGACCGGGTCTCAGGTCTTGTACCTTATTTTCTCGCGCTGTGACCTCTCGCTCTGTGATTGGATGGTTCTTTGGGTCCCGCCCCCAGCAGACGACTGGACCAATCACAGCGGCTTTCAGGTTGAATGACAGCGTAGACCCCGCCCCCACGTTCCTCAAGGCCACGCCCTCTTTCTGCTCCACCCGAATCACCACGGAAACGCAGGCTGTGGCTCCGCCCCCTGAGCAGACTCCGCCCCCTGAGTGATCACACAAGATTATTATTATATTATTATTATTATTATTATTAATATTTTTAATATTAATATATATATTATTATTATTATTATTATATTATTATATATTATTATTATTATTATTATTATTATATTATTAATATTATTATTTATTATTATTATTATTATTATTATTATTATTATTATTATTATTATTAGGCCCGAGCGTCACGGCTGGTGAAGAGCCTTTTGTTGCGCAGTGTGAAGCTGCGCTGTGTGTGTGAAGTGGAGCGTTCAAACTCGGTTATGAATTTAAAAAGTCAATGCCAAAGTGAAAGTCTCCAACTGTTCACCAAGAAACACCTTCCACTGCAAAGACCAAGACGTGATGTTTGTGTAAAACCACAAGAACAAGAAAGTGCAGCTCAGTCTGTTTGTCTTCTGCTCCTCTACATTAACAAACAGGATTTTGTTATTAGGTTCTTTTTTTCACACCTAGAGTGTTATTTCATACCTTTAAACAGCTGACTGACTGGACACGTCACAGCAACATCACGTGACTCTGAGGAAGTGAGCAGTCGAAACTGTCAGGGATGAAATACACTCCAGGTCTGAAAAAAAGAACCTAATAACATAGAATATTGGAAGACCAAATGAACCTCATTGGACTGTTACGCTCAAGTCATGGACAACAATGTGTCAAGGAGTTCTGGAAATTAGAACAACTGGAATCAAAAAGGGCACGTTTCCGTAACCATCTCCGATTCAACCTGCGTTGCCGGGACGAGGGAATTACACCACCCACCCTGGACCTCAAGAATCACATCCCATCACAGAATGCAGAGAAAATTGTAAAAGGAGCAGACCTCACACTGCTGAAAGAAAGAGTAAGATGCACCACGAATAAGGTAAACGACATAAACAATAAACTAAAAACGAACATGGCTAACTTTGCTAGCAAGTTCCAGTTAGACGAAGACACGCAAAAGCTAACAACACAACAACTGTTAAGGACACACGAAAGGATTTTCTTAGAAACAAAAATTAGACACGTAGAAAAATTAGAGTCGCTAATCGCGCGTAAGAATAAAAACAATGCGAAGATAGACGGTTCAATGACAAATAAATGGGTAAAAAATGTATCAAAGCGCCCACTTTCACAGACAGAACTAAACGTATTATCCCGCGGATTAAACTACGCAGTAACGCCAGAAAAAATTCCATACGAAGAATTCATACTCGCCACCGAACAAGCATGCCAATCAATAAAAGAGCAGGGAGGAAAGCAGAACTAAGAAAGGAAATAGCAGGGATTCTTAAAACAGCAAGATGCCACCAGGAAACGTAAATAAAGATGAAAGGAAAGCAATACGCGCGCTAGCTAACGACAAAACAATCACAATAACACCCGCGGATAAAGGAAGAGCCACTGTCGTCATGGACACACACAAATATGATCAATGCTAAAGGACACAAATACATACAAACGGATTAGGAAAGACCCAACTGAGGAAAAGAAAAAGACACTTAAAACACTCCTAAAACCCTTGTTGGAGGAAGAAAAAATAGATAAGGAAACTTACAATTACCTAATACCAACCGCCAACATCACACCACCAATATATGGCACATCCAAAATACACAAAAAGGACACTCCACTTAGACCCAGAGTAGACAGCATCGGTTCAGTAACATATAATCTATCAAAAGCACTAGTAGAACTCATAAAACCATTATTAGGCCATGTGGGGAAGCTGGCCCAAGTGGTCAAAATGAGAGTCCAGTGCAAAGTTGTCCTTCACCAAACCAAATTCTTTATTGGATCCTTCCAAGTCGTGGGCAAAATTCTATACATATTTACAAAAAAAGAACTGTGCTTAACTAAACAAAAGCAACAGAAAATAACACAACAAAAGAAAATACCCACAGGCACCTGGCTGCACTGATGGTGACCTCCTACTGATTAAACTGCCTCTACTTATACACCCCCCAGAGAGGAAGCCCCTCCCCCTGGGTTCACACCAACTTACGGGGAAAACTGTAGCAATTTCCTTTCCTTACTGGTGCTGCCTTCAATTATTTTCTGAAGCCTAATCCCCCTTTTAAACTGAACAGTGTCCAACTTAACTAGATACACTGAAACCAAAATTCTAATAACCCATTTGATAAAACAAAGAACCATTTCCGAGGCTTCCCTCCACATGGTCTGGGCCAACACCTCCCTGAGCCTATAAATATGGCTGCCAAAGGACACGCCCCCTCTGTTGTTCCCAGACCATGTGGAGTCACAGGTAAAGGTGGTGAGTTTAAACAGAAATGAAGGGATATAACCAAATAAAATGAATTTAAAGTAACTGTGTGAATGTGATCAATTAAACAAAGACTAAATAAAACAAACCCGGGATAGTTATTATTTAGCCGTTTAGTTGATATAGATGTAACTGAACTAAGGTGAAAAATGGGGACAAAGGCCGTCTTTGTCACAGGACATACCCAGCAACATTGTAAGAACTCAAAACAACTGGCCCAGGAACTAAAAACCATCAAAGTACAAACCAATGAAATATTAATATCCCACGATGTAATATCCCTGTTCACAAAAACTCCCATAAACGTCACATTACACATAGTTGAGAACCGCCCACGTACAGACAAAACACTACACAAACAAACCAACCTGACAGTTGAAGACTTAACCCGGCTCCTTCATTTTGTTTCCACATCCACATACTTCAAATTCAAAGGAAAAATATACAGGCAGAAGGAGGGTTTGGCCATGGGGGACCCCTTATCAGCCATCATGAGTGGGTTCTTCATGGACGACCTGGAGGACAAGGCCATAAGGACAGAGACAACGACATGCAGACTCACTATGTGGAAAAGATATGTAGACGACATACTGGAAAAAACTGAAAACGGACACACACAAGAGCGAACAGACCACCTAAACACAACAGACAGCACTGGAAACACCCAATTCACACACGAAGAAGAAACAAACAACACAATAAACTTCCTGCACATGAACATCACACACAGGGAAGACGGCAGCATCAAAATCAAAATACACAGAAAACCAACCCACACGGACCAGTATCTCTTATGGACGTCAGAACATCCCACAGCCACAAACTCTCCGTAAGAACATTGTACGACAGAACCAACATCATAACAGACGAACAAGACAAACAGGAAGAAGACAGACACATTCACAAGGCGCTAAGGCACAGGTGTCAAACATACGGCCCGGGGGCCAGATCCGGCCCTCCAAGACCTTTAATCTGGCCCTCGGCTGATTTTCTACTAAAGTATTTTAATGATATTTTCTATTAAAATGGTGTTAATTTTCTGTGGTGTTTATCACAGCAGCGTCTCCAGCGTCTCTGTACGTGGCCCCTCCCACCAGAGCAGCACAAATGAAGACTTGTCTCTCTTTCCAAACGTCTTAAAGGACGATCGTTTTGACTGTTGACCGTGACCCTCATCAGAAAAAATGTCCAACATGAGAAAAGTGGAGCCGAGTGCAGGAATTTTACAACAAAAATGGACTTATTCTGTTTACATACAAGTTCATGTTCAAACTTTGTGTTGAAATTGTATTTTCTTAAAGTTTCAGGTTGTTCATAATATTATAATATTTTGTAAAAGAAAGAGTTCATCAATTAAAAAAGATTTGTGTAATAGATTTGTGTTTCTCTGCACAAATATTTGAACTTATTGTTATTTTTGGGGTTTATATGACATGAGTTTTCTGATCCAGACACTTTGGATCAAAGTCGGTTGGATTCGGCCCCTGGACCAAAATGAGTTTGACTCTCCTGCGCTAAGGCAACGCCAAGACCCAAAATGGGCAATAAACAAAGGGAAACAACAGGTGAAGGAGAAAGAAAAACAGAACCAAAGAAACAAAAACAAAACAGTAAAAATGAGCACAGGCCTGGGAACATTACCATACATCAGGGACATAACAGAAAAAGTACAGAGGGCGATGAAAAAACACAATATGAACACACGAGTGAAACCGAACAGGAAACTCAGACAAATACTCGTCCACCCGAAAGACAAAATAGAACCGGAGCATAAATGTAATGTAATGTACGAAATCCCCGGCATGTCCTGCAATAAAACACACATCGGAGAAACAGGGAGGGAGTTCAGTCCACGAAAAAAGGAACATAGAACAGAACGCGAGAAGGAAACAGCGAAGGCGAAACACGAGCAACAAAACTCAAAGCAGAACAGGAACAACTCAAATCGTCCGTTTCTGACCAGTGTAAAAGAGAGAAACACGTTATGAACTGAGACGGAGCGAACATCACTGGGACAGAGGAAAACAAACATCGCCGCTGGATTAAAGAAGCAATCGAAATACGGAAACGTGCCCACAGGACGATAAACCGGGACGAGGGGCTTTTTTACTCTCACACACCTGGAACTGTCCTGAGGAAGTGGGACTGCAGGTGGCGCTGTCGTCCTGCCTCCACCGAGAGGAAGACAGAGACAAAACCTGTTTAAATCATCTGACCAGACACGACACAGAAACATCACGTGACTCTGAGGAAGACGTTAGTGAACAGAACAAACTGTCAGGGATGAAATACACTCCAGGTCTGAGAAAAAGAACCTAATAACATAGAATATTGGAAGACCAAATGAACCTCATTGGACTAAACGAGATTTTGTTTTGTCGTGGCTCCACAGACAAAATGTTCTCTGTAAACTCGGGATGATTTCTTAGTCAAACAAATGTTTCCTTTTTGGTTCTTCCTGTGGATCAATCCTGCCCATCACCTTCACCTTTCACTAGTTTTCAATTCCGTTGGGAAGAGAAACAGTTTGAGTCACACACGTCTGATTCACTTTTACATTTATGAAGTTCACAAACTCCTGAAGTCCGTTTCTCGAGTCGTTTTCCACTGTTTGGATCCAACAACCACAACCACAACAATTAACGATGTCTGAATCCAAAAACTAAAATATGACAATATCAGAAGCAGAAACAAAAGTGAAACGGTTCAAAAGACTTGAAAAGATCGACTTTGACAATAGACACGTCCCACTGGGAAACAAACATGGAGGTTTGATGTTCACTTTTTCACAGGATCCTTCACAGTCTGAACTGAACCAGGACCAGAGTCTGAGATTCATGATGCATTTGTAGGACGTCCAACAAAAACACTGACGTACTCAAACCAAATTTGGTTCACAGATGCATCATGGGAATAGGAACAAAAAAGTATATTGTGACCACGCCCCCTGCCAAACTGGAAGTCCGCCATCTTGGATAAAAAATAAAAAAATCAACACAGAAAATGAGAAAAATGGTAGGAGTCGGTTAAGATTAGGGATTAGGGGTTCGGGGTTCAGGTTGGGGTTCAGGGTTGAGGTAGGGTGAGGGGTTAGGGTTAATTTAGGAGTTAGATCACGGGGTGAGGTGCATTCGTGGGGCATGACATGTGCAGGGCTCAGCGTGGTCGGGGTGCGGCGTGGGCTCGAGCGAGGGCCGATCATCGCCGCTTGCAGCTATATGTTTAATATTATTATTATTTATTTTATTTATTTATTATTATTATTATTATTATTTATTTTTTATTATTATTCAGTCTCCACAGCTGATGTTCGTGAGGCACCGATACGATGCTGGTATCAAATATCGGTGTTGATATTGAATGTTTTGGTGGATTGGATATCGGATACAGGTTCAGCCGATATTCTGGGTGTGTTTTATTCTGCTCTGTAAACATAAATATAATATATATAATATAATATAATATATATAAAATATTAAGATTATTTTCTTAAAGCTGCTGTGGAATTATTTTACAGACAAATAACCACAGAGGATCATTTGTGAGCGTCTGTTTGTTTAAAGGAAATAAACTTTCACACTCTGGTATCGGTGGATATCGGTGGAGAATTGTTTTGTTTTGGGCTGTTTCCTGCGTGGTTTCAGGTCGTAGTTGAAGCTGTTTAAACACAAACACGGGGGGAGGACGTGTGTGACTTTATGTTGTTTGTATAAACTCCTGACTGGACGAGGACAAAAGTTTCTCTCAGTTTCTCTGCTGGATTTGGTTTGTTTTATTAATTATATTAATTCACTGTGTTTCGTTTTCACGATGGTTTAATGACAAGACGACGATAAAAAAACGACGACTCGTCCACGTAAACACCTCACTCACCGAGCGGACGCTGCAGCGGATATCATCATGAGTATCGTCAGTATCAGGTATCGTGAGTATCGTCAGTATCAGGTATCAGTATCGTCAGTATCAGGTATCGTGAGTATCAGGTATCGTGAGTATCGTATCAGTATCAGGTATCATGAGTATCAGTATCAGTATCAGAGTATCAGGTATGAGTATCGTCAGTATCAGGTATCGTGAGTATCGTCAGTATCAGGTATCATGAGTATCGTCAGTATCAGGTATCGTGAGTATCGTCAGTATCAGGTATCATGAGTATCAGGTATCGTGAGTATCGTCAGTATCAGGTATCGTGAGTATCGTCAGTATCAGGTATCGTGAGTATCGTCAGTATCAGGTATCGTGAGTATCGGTCAGTATCAGGTATCGGTGAGTATTGTGTATCGTGAGTATCAGATATCGTGAATCAGTGAGTATCAGGTATCGTGAGTATCGTGTATTGGTGAGTATCGTGTATTGGTGGGTATTGGTGAGTATTGGTGAGTATCAGGTATCGTGAATCGGTGAGTATCGTGTATCAGTGGGTATCATGTATCAGTGAGTATCAGGTATTGGTGAGTATCGGTGAGTATCAGGTATCGGTGAGTATTGTGTATCGTGAGTATCAGATATCGTGAATCAGTGAGTATCGTGTATCAGTGAGTATCAGATATCGTGAATCAGTGAGTATCAGGTATCGGTGAGTATCGTGTATTGGTGAGTATCGGTGAGTATCAGGTATCGGTGAGTATCGTGTATCGGTGAGTATCGGTATTGGTGAGTATCGGTGAGTATCAGGTATCGGTGAGTATCGTGTATTGGTGAGTATCGGGTATTGGTGAGTATCGGTCAGTATCAGGTATCGGTGAGTATCGTGTATCGCAGACCCTTAAACCCAAAGTATCGTCTTCGTCGTCATTCTCACCTTCGTCGGTTTTTCTCTTCTTCCTCTTCCTGTCCTCTGGCTCCGCCTCCTCGCCGCTCGCATCACGGCCAGGCCCCGCCCCCTGACGCTGCTGAATCTCCATGGCAACAGAAGGACTGAGCACAGAGACGTGATCGAGCGAGAACTGCAGGTAAAACCTACGAGAGAAAAACCAGGTCTGAACCAGGACTAAACCAGGACTAAACCAGGTCTAAACCAGGACTGAACCAGGACTGAACCAGGACTAAACCAGGTACTAAACCAGGTCTGAACCAGGACTAAACCAGGACTAAACCAGGACTGAACCAGGACTAAACCAGGACTAAACCAGGACTAAACCAGGTCTGAACCAGGACTAACCAGGACTAAACCAGGACTAAACCAGAACCAGAACCAGACTGAACCAGGAACCAGGACTGAACCAGGACTGAACCAGGACTGAACCAGGACTAAACCAGGACTAAACCAGGACTAAACCAGGTCTGAACCAGGACTGAACCAGGACTAAACCAGGACTAAACCAGGTCTGAACCAGGACTAAACCAGGACTAAACAGGTCTGAACCAGGACTAAACCAGGACTAAACCAGGACTAAACCAGGACTAAACCAGGTCTGAACCAGGACTAAACCAGGACTAAACCAGGACTGAACCAGGACTGAACCAGGACTGAACCAGACTGACTGAACCAGGACTGAACCAGGACTGAACCAGAACCAGACTGAACCAGGTCTGAACCAGGACTAAAACCAGAACTAAACCAGGACTAAACCAGGTCTGAACCAGGACTGAACCAGGACTGAACCAGGACTGAACCAGGACTAAACCAGGTCTGAACCAGGACTAAACCAGGACTAAACCAGGTCTAAACCAGGACTAAACCAGGACTAAACCAGGACTGAACCAGGACTGAACCAGGACTGAACAGGACTAAACCAGGTCTGAACCAGGACTAAACCAGGACTAAAACCAGGACTAAACCAGGTCTGAACCAGGACTAAACCAGGACTGAACCAGGACTGAACCAGGACTAAACCAGGTCTGAACCAGGACTAAACCAGGACTAAACCAGGACTAAACCAGGACTAAACCAGGACTAAACCAGGACTTACCTGGTTTCCTTGTGGGAGATGAAATGTTCCTGATCCAGGTGTTTGAAGGAGGGAAACTCTGATTGGATGAATCTCTCCGTTACCATGGTGAAGTGACGCACACACACGAGGCAGCCTGCCAATCAGAAGCCAGCATTTAAACAACAGACCAATCAGAAGTCAGCGTTTAAACATCAGGCCAATCAGAAGCCAGCGTTTAAACAACAGACCAATCAGAAGCCAGCGTTTAAACAACAGACCAATCAGAAGCCAGCGTTTAAACAACAGACCAATCAGAAGCCAGCGTTTAAACAACAGACCAATCAGAAGTCTGTATTCTGAGGTTTCTGTGGAGACGACTGAACTTTAACCTCGTTGCAAATTTCTCTGATCTGGCCAAGATTTTAAACCTTATTTCAGGTTTTTCATCTTAGAAAATGTCACTTTTATTTCTTCCATGACTCAACTTGTCGGAAAATCTTAAATTTCGGTGATAAATGTTTAAAAGAAACTATCATCCATTTACCAGAGTTTTCCCTGAAACACTTCATTAGTTTTTAGATTCAGTGTGAACAGACGAACGACTCATGTGCGACTGATTTAAGATTTTATATCTAGAATTTAGAATCTCTGAATTCATCATCAGACCATGAACTGTGAACATAAACTGGTTTTTAGTTTGTTGAGCTTCATAAATGTATTTCCAGCGCTGGAACCGTGAGCTCAGACGCTTCACTCTGCTCCAGAGGGAGTTTATTTAAAGATGAAGAAGATGAAGATAAAATGATCTTCTGTTTGGATTCATCATTTTTCTATTTTTAACTCATTTTCTGACAGATTTAAATGTTTAGATCTTGGCCGAGTTTCTCGACTGAAACACGACGACGTTCAGAACCTGTTACAGACGCACACCAAACACACACAACTGTACCGATCCAGGCCGTGCTGAAGGCCGCAGTCTGCTCCCGCCCTGAGGCCCGGTCCAGGTCCTGGTCCTGATCCCGGTCTCGGTCCTGGTCTCGGTCCCGGTCCAGGTCCCGGTCCAGGTCCCGGTCCAGGTCCGGGTCGGTCTCTGTCACCACACAGGACACAGTCCCGGTGGCGTCTCGAAGCTCCAGACTCTGAGACTCAGATCCTGGAGACGGAAGCTGAAGAATCCCAACCAACAGAAGAGGACGCTCTCTGTAACACACACACACACACACACACACACACAACTGTAACACACAACACACACACACACACACAACTGTAACACACACAACACAACACAACTGTAAACACACACACAACACAACACACACACACACAACACACAACTGTAACACACAACACACACACACACACACACACACACAACTGTAACACACACACACACAACACACAACTGTAACACACACACACACACAACTGTAACACACACACACAACACACACACACACACACACACACACACACACAACTGTAACACACACACACACACACAACACACAACTGTAACACACACACACACACACACACAACTGTACACAACACACACACACACAACACACACACACACAACACACAACTGTAACACACAACACACACACACACACACACAACTGTAACACACAACACACACACACACACACACACACACACAACTGTACACACAACACACAACACACACACACACAACACACAACTGTAACACACACACAACACACACACACACACACAACACAACTGTAACACACACACACACACACACACACAACACACACAACTGTACACACACACACACACACACACAACACACACACAACTGTACAACACACACACACACACACACACACACACACACACACACACACAACTGTAACACACAACACACACACACACACACACACAACTGTAACACACACACACACACACACACAACTGTAACACACACACACAACACACACACACACACAACTGTAACACACAACACACACACACACACAACTGTAACACACAACACACACACACACACACACAACTGTAACACACACACACAACACACACAACTGTAACACACAACACACACACACACACACACAACTGTAACACACACACACACACACACACAACTGTAACACACAACACACACACACAACTGTAACACACACACAACACACACACACACACAACTGTAACACACAACACACACACACACACACACACACACAACACACAACTGTAACACACACACACACACACACACACAACTGTAACACACACACACACACACACACAACTGTAACACACAACACACACACACACACAACTGTACACACACACACAACTGTAACACACAACACACACACACACACACAACTGTAACACACAACACACACACACACACAACTGTAACACAACATATAAACATACACACAACTGTAACACACACAACATACAACTGTAACACACACACACATTTACACACACTGGTGATGTCACTCAGGTCACTTCTGTCACAGGGAGAAGATGGAGACTTACCCCATGTGAAGGTCTGCAGGAGGACTCTGGTCCCTGTGGTCCCTGGTGGTCCCTGTGGTCCCTGTGGTCCCTGTGGTCCTGTGGTCCCGGGGGTCCGGTCTGTGGCCCCTGTGGTCCCTGTGGTCCCTGTGGTCCCTGTGGTCCCTGTGGTCCCTGTGGTCCGGTCCGGGGCCCCTGGGGTCCGAGCGGAGGCGGGCGTGGGACCAGGACAGGGCGGCGTTGAGTTGGCTGCAGTTCAGACTCTGTCCATCGGGGGGCAGCAGTGAGCTGAGGCTGAGGGACGACCAGCAGAGCGAGAGCAGCGAGGAGCGCAGAGACGACACACTGAGCACGTGCGGGAGCGAGGAGGCGGAGCCGTACTGCGGGGGAGGGGACAGGTGAGTCAGGTCCTCACAGTAAAAACACCACAGACACAAACAGGAACCAC